CGAAGCAAGTTGGAGGAAAAACTCTGTTTTTCAAAAGAATCTTCTGAAAAGAAGGGCGTCCAAGTAACTGCAGTAGTGAAGTGGTGATACTTCCGGGAAGCTGAGTGAAAGGATCAGCCATCAGGACGTGGAATTGCATCCTGGGTGGCATCTAGGCTTGAAGAAGACGAGGAGTGCTTCTTAAGTGCTAGGAACTAAGCTTTGTAACCGATCTACTTCAAAGCTAGTGGAACAGTGGACTAGAGGAACGAGTTGTTCCTTGAACCACTATAAAATATCCGGTGTCGTTTACTTTACTGCAATTTATATTTCTGCACTTAGGATATTAACTGATTAACTCTAAGACTTGGAATCTGTGTTCAGCAGATCTTGTTCCCAGAGTTATCAGGAAGGCATTTGCCTTAGTATTTTTCTGAGGCTACCCGGACAGATCAGAATCCGCTGCCAAGGCCAGTTCTGATATCAGAACCAGCCTTTCTCTGTCATCAGAATCAGACCTTCTCTGATAAGTCAGTTTTGACTTTGAGAAAAATTTGAAAAACCAATCAGTCTATTCACCCCCCCCCTCTAGACTGATTACCATATTAAACGGGACCAACAGTAAGCTATGGGAAGTAAAGGCTTCTCCAAAATTCAAGTATTTAGCTTGGCAGGTGTTAGACGGATCGTTGCCTTCGGTGAATAATCTTAGGCAAAAGGGGGTAAGTATCAGTGGTGGATGCAAGCTATATATGTGGCCGACTGTTAGAGGAAGATACGGATCATGCTCTCCGTTCTTGTCCCAAAGTGGAGGAAGTCCGGAAGCTTGCTGGGGGTACCGACTGAAGTGCAGCAGGTCTCGTTCGAGGAATGGTACTGACAGGGAATTGATTCGCCGGATAAAGACTCTTGCAGCAGGTTTATAGCTCTAACTTGGAGCATATGGAAGAGAAGGAATAATGCTATTTGGAAGGATAAAGACCTTGAGGCGGATGGGGTGGTCCGAGTGGCAGCGAGCATGTTGGCCGCATGGTGTGATGCACAGGAACCAGCAGGGGGTCGGGAAACAGAGGGGACGGACAAGGAGGTTGGGGCTAAGTGGCAACGGCCGAAGTCGGGCTATTCGAAGATAAATATAGACGGTGCGTTAAATCAAAGTGGGGGAGTGCGTGCATGGGGATGGGTGGTACGTGATGAGTATGGCAATTTTGTTAAGGCCCGAGGTGTTTCTAGCAAAGCAGAATGGTCAACTCAGGAGACGGAAGGCATGGGAGTCAGAGATGCAATAATAATGGGAGCTATGGAGGCGGGGTGGCAGAAGGTTGAATTTGAGACTGATGCTCTTATTGTGGTTCAGAGTTTAAAAAAGGAGGGATCAGCGTATATTTACTTTATTATTGATGATATTAGGAGGGTTTTGGAAACAAAGAGTAATTTTTATATCTCTTTTTGTAGAAGGTCTGCGAATCATGTGGCTCATGCTCTTACACGATCACATGTGTTACTATCTCAAATCAAAGAGTTGATTATGATTATATTCCTGATTGTATTTCTAGCCAAATGGCGAACGATTTATTGATTTAAAATAATGTTTCGGTTTGGCGATAAAAAAAACCTTTTCTAAAAGATCTGACATTTGGAAAATTTTTTCTTCTCTCTCTAGGGTTACCATCCGGTAACGCCTAGGTCTTTGTCCGCCGCCGGTTTGCCAAGGCTGCTTTGGCCGCCGCTGGTCATCCGAGAGGAGTGCGGTGTTTGTTTCGAGTTCCCTTGGAGCTTCGGTATTTGGCTTTTTGTTTCCCGTTTGTGGAGGTTTTGGCGGAGCAAGGTTCGGCTCGCAAGGTTGAGGCGAGTCGAATCCGGGGAAGATGAGCATCATTACATGGAATTGTAGAGGGTTGGGCAATCCAGCAACGCTTCAGTGTTTGGTTCCGGCCCTCGGCACAGGCAATGAACAGACAGGGAGCAATGAAGGGCTGAGCAAGGGAGAATACAGATCGGCGGTACGTCCCCAGCCTGAACCGCCGTTGTGCATTGATCGAGAAGTCGGGGTTTGTAAGATGAATTTTCAAGAAGTTTGGAGTATTTGTCAGTTATTCTATTTTTTATGGTCTTATTTTCGTGTTATGTTTGTTTATGGTGTTTCGTTTTTTGTTAAGGTTTTAAATTTTGGGTCTATGATAATGATTGTCAATTCTGCTAGATATTATGTCATTAGAAGGATCTATATGGCTAGTGATTGTTGTGTCACACCCGCTAGGTGGTTAACGATTCGCATTGCTCTTTCATGGGTGATCGTCTCAGAGTCTAGCCGTAGAGTTGATTGCAATAGTTGGTTAGGGATAGTTTTTGTCAGGATTGGTCTTTTGGAGTCTGTTGTAACGATCCGCTTCTTAATGGTTTGATATAAGAGTTAGATTTGATAATTAAAAAAAGATCTCACATTTGGATGACATTAATTTCTAAAAACAGACCTTTTGTTCGATATTAATTACGGAGTATTTGTCAAGAAAACGTTCTATTGATTAACTAATTGACAGACAAAAATAGTCTCTTGATAATTAATGGAAAATCAGTTCAAGAGCTACCCAGCCCTAAACAAAGCAACACTAAGCTTAATTCCAGCCATGGCAGCCACCAAAGCCATATTCATTGTCTCCAGCCTTCTGCTAGCCACGCCGGCAGTGGTGTGTGGCGAGGCATGCAAGCCGATGGAGCCAGTGGAGGACTTAAGGAGGGGCCTAGGGGGGCAAGTGCCCCGGCTTCCGACCATGAAGTTTAGTATTAGTACTTAAAATAAAAACTGTGCTCCTGCTATCCGGGCAAAAAATTAGAGTAGTTTTCATAAATATTACCGGAATATAACTAATGAACATATTCATGGTCACTAAAATTGCTATGGTAGTACCTAAGTCATATTTTTGTCCACTATCGTTATTTCAATCATATTGTCATTATTTCAAAAAACTATTAGAAATATAGGACTCCGTCAAAGGCATAATAATTGTAGTAAGAAATATAAACAACTCTGAAGTTGTGATGGAGCAAATTCTTATAGTTAGATATGTTGTTATATGGTTACTGCACTTTCTTTGAAAAGTAGCATTGCTGATTTTTTACTTGTTGTGAATAATGTCGATCCAAAGTTAAAGTTCAAAGATATGAAAAAAGTTCTAATATGCGGGATAAACTTAAAAGATTGAAGACTTTTATCTTGAATAAAAGTCCATACATGAAAGAATGTATCAATTCGCGATAAATTAGTTTCAAACTGACAAACCCTTTAAATTTTTTCTATAATATGATACTCGTAAAAGGTAGATATATATATAGAATCATACTAATAAATAAAGTTGTATTAAATGATAAAATCCTAAACTTGACTTATACTTCATTTTTAACACGATGGTATTATATTTCATTTAAGTACCAACAAATTTTGTGGCACAATGTATAACAACTACATGATCCTAGTTCAAATATGAAATATTGATCATTTTATAGTATGAAACATAGCGAAAATTCTAATGTAAAATCATCAACTACACAAAGATGAGTTATTTCTTATCCGTCAAATTATGTATTTCTTTCCAAAAGTCAAATATTATTGTTTAGAATTGTCTTAATGAGTTTACAATTAGATTTATAATCCATATATGTTCACTGCTTGACGTCGGCATTGAATAATCTATTTTCAGTTAAAAATATTAATTTGAACGTACTTAACAAAAAAGACCAATGATACACCTAATTAATTTGGCCCGACCCGACCCATTTTCATCTATGTTGGAGTGCCCCTGCTTCGGGAAACTTCTGGGTCCGCCACTGAATGGAGCCGTAGCCGACGACTCTTACGCACAAGGTGGTGCCGGTGAACCTTTACCACTACCCGAGGAACGTGCTGAAGCTGGGGGTGTGCGCCGACTTCCTCGGCGGGCTCATCAATATCGCGATCGGGCTCGCGTGGGCGAGCCCGTTCTGCAGCTTTCTTGAAGGGCTCGTTGCATATATGACTATTGTTTGTTATACTAGTTTTTTGAACGCGCGATGCGCGAGGGAATTATGCCCAATTTAAGTTTTTGTATAGATGTTATTTTTTTATAATACATCATAAGAGTATTTACTGTGTTACAATAACATACTTAAAAGTGAAACTTTAATGCAATGTAATATGGTTTTTTAAAAAGTGGAGAAAGTTAGACCAAAACTTATTTATTTAGTGGTGGAAGTGGAATGGGAAGTGTGATATTTGAAAATGAACTTATTCAATGCCAAATTTTAAAGGCAAGATAGATTGTTTCGATGGATTCAAATACAAGAGATGGACTAATAGCTATAAGAGGAAAATTGGTGCCTTTACAAAATGGTGTTAACTGAGTCAGGGAGTCTAAGGTAGTATCTTCAAAATACACAACACGGCAAAAATGAATGTAAAGTTAGCGAAAATGAATGTAAAGTTAAATAAGTTGTGTGTAAATGAAAATAAAAAATGTGTTAATCCATTAAAACAATCTTAACGTAAGGAAATTAAAGCATTAACGATGAAGTGTATGTGGAAAGACAAATATTAAATGAAGTAAATATTGGAGGAACAATATATTCATAACGGGTAACAATATTACTGTGTAAATAATTAATTACGTAATGGAGCCTTGGTATTCATTAGAAGAACAGTAAAAAATGTGATATACATTATACGGGTTCAAATAATATACAATAACATGTAATAGCAATCAGACCTAATCACAAAAAAGCAATAAGAGTTGCTTATTTGTGACTTAATCTTGAATAATTAGCAAATCGTTTAGCGATTAGGGGCTCATGTTTATTTACGCCTTAATTGAAAAATACTTATTCATTTAGTAAAAAAATGACTTAATTATTAAGCCATAACATATTACTTTTTGCCATTAAGACACCTATTAAAAAGTGTATTCAACCAGCTTATTTAAACTCTATAGATTAGATGTATGTTAATAAGTATCATTACTCATTCATAATATATCTCAATAATAATCTTAAATGGGTAATTTTATTCAATTCAGACTATCTATTCATCACACAGAAAAAGTCTTACACAGGAATGTATCCAAATGTCTTAATTGAGATAAGCATATTAATCCAAAAAGGACTTAATATGAAACAAATAATCAACCCCTAAGTTAATAATAATCTTCACTGTAATCATTATCAACTTTGTCATGGGATATTGCAATAAAGCACCTGGAAAATTTATTCGCATACTGGGGAAAAAGTTTGTAGTAGTATTGATACAGTTCAAAATGTCAACCAACTTCTTGGGAGTGTATGGGAAGCCTGTCAAGTGGAAAATGAAGGGCTAATTCAGCAGGGCTATTTGAATGGAGTAGCTAAATTTGCTAGTTCCGATATTATATGAGCCCGTCTCAAATCCAATAAATTTCTATTAAAATCCATCCCACTCGCTTTAACATTCCCAAGTGCTAAGATATTTATATACTCATATCAAGGTATTCAAAGTTTAAAAGTACATATTTAAAGCAAAGGTCAATTACCTTCAATAAAACTCATCATACTATAGAGATTATCTACCATTGATATATTTCTTCAAATTCACCTTTCCGTGGAGAACATTCAGCAGTGCCTGATGAACTATGTCAATGAATACATCGTCCTGCAACATTTAATTGGAGTATCAATCAACTTTCTCCTTGTAGAAAGTATAAACTCAATGCTCGGTTCCATTCATGTATAACAGATGTTTCCCAAACAAAATAAAGAGCCTTAGTTTAATAACACTTCCTCCTTCCCAACTTATATTGCCGTCCTTAATTGAGTTGCATTTTTATCAATTATAATCATATTCGAATTAAGTTTTTTCGCTTTAACTAAACTTTAATTATAGTATCTAAGTATATACAATTTGGCAACATCAAATACAGCTCAATAAACTATAGCTATTTTCATTCTTAAAACCACGATTGGTTTACTTAATTACTTCCCAAACGGGCTTTACTTTATGAAAAAATGTGTTATACTATTTTTTGAAAAAATGGACTCTGGGTTGACTGAAATTAGGCTAGTGAAATAGAAACACAGACTAATATATTCTATCATTTCCTAAACAAGAATGAAAAAGGATTTACAGACCTGATTTCTTGTAATAGCAATCTCATTATTTGAAAAATAGTAACATGAGTAAGTAATGGAGGAGGTGAAGGTGAGAGGAATGGTTGAGGCAAAGGAGGAGCATATGGGCGTTATAGAGTTCCAGGAGAAGGCTGAAGTGGAGGAGTATCTGACATGATCGCGTTGGAGTCTGAACATGCAGTGTAGGGGTAAACGTGTCACTCTGAGACTCTGAGTACTTGTAGGCAAAATGGGAGCATGCCCATGACCTGTTGTATTGGAAGAGCCCTCAATTGTCATTGCAGTCTGCAAAAAAAGAAAAGGGAAAACCTTTTGATAGTAATTTCTATATGTACATGATCAAAAGTAAACACTGTATTCAAAAGAAATACAACATGGAGCATTTAGGCTAGTGAAATAGACACACAGACTAATATATTCTATCATTTCCTAAACAAGAATGAAAAAGGCTTTACAGACCTGGTTTCTTGTAATAGCAATCTCATTATTTGAAAGCAGGCGCAAGGGTCTAGCATGGTCGTCAGCTCATTCCCAAACTTTAGATAGAGTAGTCGCCGAATCAAATCCACATAAATTATATATGTGCAATTCAGTCTTTCAATTGCATGAGCCATTGATAACAACCATGCTAATTGTTTTTTGGAGGAAGAATGTAAACATGAAATGTAGGCCCGCTACCATGCCTTGAAACTAAATTGTCGTCCGAAGCATGTTGTATTACTTGTTATTACTTGTTATTAACAACCATGTTGTATTACTTGTTATTAGCCACTAAAACAAGCATGGTTACTCCTTGTAACTGAAATGAAAAAGAAACACAATGCAGTATATTATACTTGTATGTGACTGTTTAATTCTATAAGGCACCGAGATTTTTTTCAGCTTGCTCACACCAAAAGTTCATAATAATAATAAAACCACAAAGTTCAGAACTATATAACTACTAAAAAGACAAAACTATAAATTCATAATAATCTCAGGTTTGAAACTTAAATGTGAAGGATAAAAATAACCTAGATGATTAAACTCAAATCTGAAATCTAAATAAAATTTGAAAACTGAAGGTAAAAATAAAAACCTGAAATAATCAAATAAATTTGAATATATAATCAGCTAAACACATAGCTTAACACTAATGGCCCATTGTAATCAATTACATCTGACATTTAGAAATCTTAATCATAGTCTATTATCAATTAAATGGGAAATACTGAAACAACTTAAATGTTGATGAAGGGATAAAATCTAATCATTATTCAATATTTCAATTCATCTTAATCAGACGTATTTAACTGATAGACCTGTGTAGAAGAGCAAGAGGGGCTGAACCGCTAAGGCAAGAGTCAATTGACACATTAAGATTTCTGAATGCGAGAGCACGCGAAAAGGACGTGAAGACTCCGAAGAGCAGAGAGTTAGAGCAGGCGAAGAGGCAACATGACTTCAGAATTCAGATTCGGGGTTCCCTTTTTCTTTCTTTGTCGTCGCTTCGATTCCAATTCAACAATTCCAAACAGCCAGAACAAAGAAGTCGGAAACGGGAAGCCAACTCTGTCAGGCCAGTGCACGGCTTACGGGCTTAGAGACGAAACAAGCAGTAGGTCGTCAAAGCTGGATAACAGAGCTGATGTAATAGACGGACGGGAGTCATGAAACGGAAGCTAAACGGAAGACAAATTCCTCTCGAACGGTACACATTCTAAAACATATGGCACCACCTCATAAAGCTAAATGATTACACCAACATTTTTTTCATTCCAAAAATACCCTTACCTTCATTGACAATTATAAGCTTTTAAGATATTGTATTCTTGCATTGAATTGATGTACCTTACTATCTTTAATTTCTCTGTTGCTTTGATTTTTTAGAAGCTTCATTTCCTGTGTTATTGATGTGTGCGGTGTTAGGGTTTGCCCTCGTGTGCTCTATTGTGTGTATTGTGAGTTAAATTTATTGTTAAGGCATTATTCCTTAATTACAATTAACTCCTCAAAAAAGAAAAAAGTAAAACCAGTTCAAGTAATCAAGTATCTATTCTCCCTTAATGTGTGTTGGAACCTCGTAGGTGTTTATTAAATAAAATGCCCAGGAAATAATATATTCGGAAAACCCCTAAGCTGCAACGCCCGTCATCAAACTTGTAAGCCATTTTAGCACAATCTCTCGACCTTAAAAAATATATCATGTTTATAATTTTTCCAATGATATCAATATTCTATTTAAAAATAGAAGATTTTTTTTTTTCTTAAATCGTTTTTTAGTCAGTTTTGTTTTTAATCTTTCTCACGCAATATTGATACCATATGAAATATCACAGAAAATTAAATGTTGATATACTTTTGAAAAAATTGAATCAGAAGTGAAACAGTTTAACAGTTGCAAAATTAAAATGAATTCCTATGTCATGCTGGTGTGGCAACCAATAGGTGCGAACAAATTTGTTTTCATAGCCTACAAGTTAAGAGAAAAGATTCGAGTAATTTAATGGGCTGGAGTAGCGAGCAAGTTAAGAACAAGTAATACATATATAGTCATATCTATCTATCTATCTTATTATACTCGCGTCGTATTATTAGTGCTGCTCAAAGCTAAGCCAGTAGTTATCGAAAGATGGCAGAAGAGAGCCCCTGGAACAACTGTTGCATAATTTTTGGTTCAATTGCAACCCTGGCCCTGGGTATCACTATTCTGGTATTCGGCTGTTCGGTCCTGAAAAGTAGCAGCAATCCTTGGATCAGTCTTATGATGAACGGTTCCGTCCAATTAGCAGGCGGGGTGGTGGCTGTCGTTGCCGGAGTTGAAATGATCTCGTGGAGCTGCGGCGGCGTAGACAAGAGTAGTCTTGCATCCCGTACCGCGGGACTGTTAATAATTCTTTTATTGGCTGTAGCCACGCTTTCGTTAAGCATTCTGATGATGCAAGACTCCAAATACTCAGGCTCCCTCGAGAAGGCGCCCAACCGGGGTTACGTCGAATACCGTTTCGATTCATTCTCTTCCCGGCTCCGCGGCCGGGTTAGCGATGTCCATCGGTGGAACGGAATCACAGCTTGCCTCGGCATTGTCGACGGTCCCTGCGCTGACTTGAAGAGAGCGCCTTTCGATTTCTCCTCTGCTAAAAAACTTTATGCTGCAAACCTCTCCCCCTTACAGGTTCTATTCAAATTTAAACTCGTCATGATAAGTTATAAAACAATTAAACACTATACAAAGCTTTGATTACTCCTATAGGGTTGACTTTTTAGAACGGAATCCCGAATTTTAACATGATCTAATGTATATAAATATACTTGTATCTTTTTCATGAACTAACATTATTTCATGATTGCGGGCAGTCTGGATGCTGTATTCCTCCGCGGAGTTGTAACTTCACTTTTGTGAGTCCAACAAAATGGACACCGGCCATCAATCAGACAACGGCTCTGGACAGCGACTGTGCTAGATGGAACAATGACCAACACAAACTTTGCTTGGATTGTGATTCTTGCAAAGCAGGAGTACTACTCGGCTTCGCTGACAAATTTAAAAAGCCATCTACCGCTCTGGTTGTTTCCTCTGCGATCGCGGTTACTGTAGTGTTTCTTTTATTAATTGTTGTTTGTGTGGATTTGGTTGTTTCCTAATTGATGAAGTTTTATACTTTCAATCATCTTTCGGGAATTATTAACATATAGTCCTATTTATGCACTTTCCAATTGGGAAAGTTTCCGAAATAGGACTAAAACAGTTTGGAAATTCCAAAATAGGACTGTCATGTTTTTTATTCCCAAAATAGAAGTAATTTTAGAGAGTCTTCACATTTTTGTGACATGTAAGAGTGACATTCTAAACTTTAATCCACATCGTATTTTTTGCAAAAGAAAACTTGAATTAATATTGAATGAACCATCCATCCAACAACATAAAAATACATGCCCCCCTCTAAACTCCTGATCAGACATAGAATAGCCTACTACTCCAAAAAGAATGAGACTAATCGCTGAACATGTGAGAGCTTCGAGGTTATTAGCGGCCAAAACAACCTGATTGTCTCCCAACAGAAATCTGTCTAGTAGCCAAAAAATAACCCTACCACCAATGTCAATGCTAAAGGTAAAAACAAAGTATTTAATAAAACTGAAAGATAAGAAATAAAAACCGTGGTTTGTCTCGTGAACTACGACATCGCATTTAATCATGTATTTTGAATGTTTTAAATTAATATTAATACATTATTTTATACTGATTGCATGTGTATTTTATTTCATCTCGGGGGCCCTCTCAACCGAATCCTTGCTCCGCCTTTGATGATCTTGAGTCTCAACATCAACCCAAGATTTCACATGCATCCTCAATTCCTCATCTAATAGTACAACTCATCATTGAAGTGTACCCACCCATTTGGCTGAAAATTTGTTATTTACAAATATGTGATGAGACACTAATTTATATTTATAATACTAAATCTCTTATATTTATACTAGTTAAACTACTTTTCTGTCTAGGCGATGCCCCGTGTGCAACTTGTGTGTGGAACTGTTAGTTAAAATTTGTACATATGTGTAATGTTTCTTTTGTGTGAATTTTAGGATTTGTAATTTCTATTGACAAAAGCACATAATTATATTTAGTAATATGATGATATAATATCTTTTTCCATGAATATTACTAAATTAAATTCAAACGAAAAAAAGAGTTACTTTAAAATATTCCAAAAAACTGACATATTCAGTGGTCGGGTAGTATATATTTCTCAAGAGCATAACTTGGGCAACAACCTTTAGATGTGATTCGTGATCAGGTTGTCCCGAGATTGAGAGACTATTCAAAAATTTAGGTGTGTACATGTCACTCTCACGACATAAACCAATATATGAACTAACAGTGCTATCTGAGTTGAGGTACGTGACATGGTAATCAAGAATGGAAGATAGCATTTCGATTAGCTAAAACTTGCAAATTAAGGGAGTGTTTGCAATTGCTTCAACTTTAAAAAAGTGATTTTTTAAAGTGATTTTGGGAAAAGTGATTAATAGTAAAAGTTGGTAGTGTTTGAGAAACAAGTGATTCTGAAAAAGTAAAAGTTGGTAGTGTTTGGTAAAATAAGTACTTTTTGTGTAATAGAAAAAGTGAAAAACAATTTAAGGGAGTGTTTGCAATTGCTTCAACTTTAAAAAAGTGATATTTTAAAGTGATTTTGGGGAAAGTGATTAATAGTAAAAGTTGGTAGTGTTTGAGAAAAAAGTGATTTTGGAAAAGTAAAAGTTGGTAGTGTTTGGTAAAATAAGTACTTTTTGTGTAATAGAAAAAGTGAGAAGCAGTTTAAAGCACCCTTCTACCTGCTTCCAGCTTTTAGCTTTTAAGTGATTAATTTAAGCAGAAGCTGTCATTTGAAAACACTATTTTCAACTTTTTTTAAGCCAAAAGCTGAAAAGCGCTTTTTTTAAGCAAACCCAAACACTTCTTAAAGCACCCTTCCACCTGCTTCCAGCTTTTAGCTTTTAAGTGATTAATTTAAACAGAAACTGTCATTTGAAAACACTCTTTTTAGCTTTTTTAAGCCAAAAGCTGAAAAACACTTTTTTTAAGCAACCGCAAACAGTGCTTAAATGCAATGTAGTAATAAAAACCGGTAAAAGCCATCATTTCCAATGCATGCAGAAAAAGGTTAACACTCAAAAAAGGAAAACAGTCTTTTGAGCTTTTGGGATCAATGTGTTCTTCACACGTTCGGTTTCTTAGGCAGGGGGTGTATGGGTGTACGTAATTGCATGTATGGATTTGAGTTTTAATTTGAGACCTTAGCTGGATAGGATTACGGATCGAAATGTGTGGATATGAGTAGAGGCGTTCAACCGAACTCGGGGAGTCTTATGTTTTAAGGGTATAAATGGGGTTAAGGAAATGTGGGTGTGTGTATTTAGTAAAAAGTAGACTGTGAATAGAATTTCTCTCTGAAAAATGGGGTTAAGGAAATGTGGGTGTGTGTATTTAGTAAAAAGTAGACTGTGAATAGAATTTCTCTCTGAAAAATTCATTTTAGGGCTCTTTAGTTTTTAACTATTTATTTTCCATTTAAATATTTAATGAAATATTATACAAACTTAGAGGCCGTTTGGAGCCCCCATAATGAGCTGATAAGGCTGAAAATATAAAAAAACAATACCAAACACTTGCCAAATTGGCTGTTTGGGCTTATTTTTGTTGTCAGCCGAAAAAAACAACAAATTACTCACTTTTTCAGCTGATTTTTATTATGGTTCCGTTGATGAACGAATAGACCCATTTATCCTTCTATAATGTGTGAAGTTTGACGTATTCTTTTGCCGCTGCTTCATGTAGTTTCGAAAACTTGCTTGGGTGCTCCACTGCTCCGAATCAACGAATATTCTTATCAAACTCAGGTAGTGCTAAATAGCCTAAATACGTAGTATTTTATTCTTTTGGATTTAAGGAAAATTCTAACAAACTCATATATTTATGATAAAAAAATATTCCGTATATTTTATTGAAAGTGTATTTTTAAAATTAATCAACTCATATTACAAAAATATAATACTACTATCGCTCATTCGAAAAAATTCGTTTTTTTGGAGGATAAAACTTGTATATATAGATCAATATAAATTCAACATAAGAGTAAAAAATCCCATGTCATAAGTTAATTAAGCAGTCTAATAATAACCTAATCAAGCAAAATTAATTTACTAGCAAAGCTCATACCCATATATTTAACAACACTAACAAACTAATACCCTTTATAGTAATTTTATACTCAATCAGCCACTCAGTCAATATATTACCAAACACTTTTACTTCAGGACATTAAGTCTTTACAGGCTTTTCAGCCTATTAAGCCGTTGCAGCCGTTGCCAAACAGGCCCTTATTTTAGAGAGTCTTCACATTTTTGTGACATGTAAGAGCGACATTCTAAACTTTAATCCACATCGCATTTTTTTGCAAAAGAAAAATTAAATTAATATTGAATGAACTATCTATCCAACAACATAAAAATACATTTCCCCCCTCTAAACTTCTGATCAGACATAGAATAGCCTACTCCAAAAAGAACGAGATTAATCGCTGAACATGTGAGAGCTTCGAGGCTATTAGCGGCCAAAACAACCTGATTGTCTCCCAACAGAAATCTGTCTAGTAGCCAAAAAATAACCCTACCACCACTGTCAATGCTAAAGGTAAAAACAAAGTATTTAATAAAACTGAAAGATAAGAAATAAAAACTGTGGTTTGTCTCGTGAACCACGACATCGCATTTAATCATGTATTTTGAATGTTTTAAATGAATATTAATACATTATTTAATATTGATTGAATGTGTATTTTATTTCACCTCGGGGCCCCTCTCAAACGAATCCTTGCTCCGCCCCTGATAATCTTGAGTCTCAACATCAACCCAAGATTTCACATGCATCGTCAATTCCTCATCTAATAGTACAACTCATCATTGAAGTGTACCCATCCATTTGGCTGAAAATTTGTTATTTACAAATATGTGATGAGACACTAATTTATATTTATAATACTAATAAATAATATAAATTGTAATTATATAATAATAAAATAAAGGCAATTGAAGGGTGTATATTATCACACAAATATACTCCCTCCGTCCCTCAAAGTTTGCGGGACGTTTGACTTATGCGGTCTTCTAGGTAGACGTTGACCGTAATTATCTATCAATATATACCTATAAAATCTATAATAAATTGACATTTGAATAATACATATTACAAAGAATCACATTAAATAATTTTTTTGGGATAAAATATAATTAATTTTGAGTAATTAGCGGTCAAAGTTTAACAAGTTTGACTGAAAAAGTCAAAATGTGACAAACTTTGAGGGACGAAGGTTGTATATGACTAAATATCTCATGTATGAAATTGAATCATACTGTTTATAGATAATCTCTGGACTCTAGATCTATCTGTTATTGTATAAGGCTATAAGGTAATTCAAAAAAACTTATAAAAATATTCTAATGTATTACAAATAATTATAATAATTGTTTGATAATGTTATTAGGTTTATAATAATCTTAATCATATTAGGCAAGATAGTATTGTAATCCTAAGTATTTCCTAATTATGGAGAGGTCCACCCCCAAAAAATGTTCTTATAAAATAAAAGTTTGACAAAAGTATTCCAACTCCAACATTCTTGTCTCTGCCACCTCTTGCTATTATAGTATAACTACTCGCACCACCCGTGCGTTGCACGAGAGTGAAATACCTATGTATAAATTTATTAGATAGATCGATTATCTAAAAGCTTATAATGGTGAATGAGGGTTAATACCCTTATGGGAATAAAAATGTGTTGGTGTAATAGTACAGCTATATAGAGTTGTACATTATTGTGAAGGCATAGTACTGTTCTTATTTCTTCATTGCTCTGTTCCCGCATCTACCGTTAAATTAAACCCCGATTCGTTAAATTCGTTAACTTCGCGTCTCCGTCTTCGCTTCACCTCCCCTTCATACAACCTCATCTCTTCGTGCACTCAACATCTAGCCTCCCTTAGGGTTAATCAGATGGGACTAAGGATTAAGGAAGGCTCAGCTTACGGATTTGTAGAGAGATCGGTTGGTCGCAAACTCGAGGTTCCTGACCGCCATCGCATTCTTAGCGGCAGGAGTTTTATTCTCGCCGGAATAAGTCTGACGGTCAAAGTCTGACGGTCAACAGCCTCTCGAGACCCTCACGTTTGTGAAATTGGGCCACCTACTCTTCTTCTCCACCTCGTGGGGAGCGGCTCTATGGTTCACCTTCATCAGCGGCATCATCATGTTCAAGAATCTGCCAGGGCATCAGTTTGGGAATCTGCAGAGCAAGACGTTCACGGCGTACTTCACTTTGGTCGGAGTTTGCAGGTGAGACTTCATTCCATTCATCTTATCTTGGCCATGTGATTCAATGATGATGCTTTCAATTAAAGTTATCATCATTCAATTAACAACTGGAGATTCCACAATCCTCCACTCTTGGACTTTGTGGTCTTGTTTTATACCATCGTATTTGCCTATTTCTGCCATTTATGCCATGCCTTGTAGGTAAATTCATGGCATAAGAGGATCACAAAAAAATAAATGAATGTGTTAGTTAGAGAAAGAAAGGGATTTTGGTGCATTGGCATTTTAGTTCTTTGTTCAATGTGTTTAATTAAGAAAAAATGAATAGTTCTATGGTGGCATATTTTGTGGAGTTGGAATTTGTAAAACAATACTTGTTCTTTACGGTTACATTAGAACAATTATTTCAATATGACACTGAAAGTGGCACTAATACAACTTCGTTGCAGATCTTTATAATGTTATACAACTGAGATGGTGGTCAAAATTTTGCATGAGATAAAAATTGGTTTTCTTAGCAATGCAAGTATGGGTGGAATTATTCTCATTTGTCTTATATATTAGACTACCTCCGTCCCGAAAACGAGTTCCCGGGTTGACTTTCACATATTTTAAGTAAATAAAGTTACTGAAGGGTAAATTTTACTGTTTCGACACTGTTTGACACTTTTTTGCACTGTTTCGACACTGTTTGGCACTGTTCTGCATTGTTTGACACTGTTTTGCACTTTTTGATGTAGATAATTTGCCAAATTAGGAAATGAGAACTTTATTTTGGGACATGCAAATAAGGAAAGTGGGAACTTGTTTCCGGGACGGAGGGAGTATATGACGAAGTGGAAATTGAAATTTACAGTTCTTGATACTATAAACTGAAAAGATATTGAGTCTTTCACAGGTTTTAGGTATGGGCATATCATTGAACTACTCGAGCCACATTCACACTGGCCTTCTCTTGCCACTGAATCTTTTAAATATATTCTGTATGAGTTACTATAGAACGTGTTTCACCTGAATCTTTGATAACAGATTCTTAATTTTGATTTAGAACTCTGACAGTTACATCCCTTCATGGCTGAAGGTGTGTGTATTATTGCTTTCTGGTTGACGCCTTTCTAAATATTTTCTTGTTTCTTATAATTTGAAAATTTGCTTGTCCCATGAGTATTATGTCATTCCAACCGATGGTTCTTTACTTTCAAATTTTCTGCTTCGTGCAAGGCTAAGAATTTGGCCGCTATGGATGATCTCCCAATTCGTCCTCTAAAGTTTCTTTCTGCCGGCAGCTATGGATGATCGAGAGCCTAGCAGTATTGCGTTTGGCCTCCAGCCATTATAACTTTATATTATAAGTATGTTACATGACTGTGGATTTAAGGGAAGGCTCCCGATATTGCTCACTAGCTTAGCACAGTAACCAACTTCCGCTCTCTTCTTGTGTTTTCTATATTCATTTGCATGTGTACCAAATGACCCTCGTGATTTTAATTGGAATTACTTTTGACTATTTGAAAAGTTTATTGCTTGTAGTTGAACTGCTAATGTCTAGGTGCAATGGCGTTATGTGTACATTTTTCATTTTTCTCAATCTATGTTATCTTATAGGCCATAGGTGTAAAAATCAACTTTACCTTATTGGGTTAGCCTTTACTCCTATATAATTGTTTGCTTACCCCTGAACAAATATCATACATCAAATGGAGGACTGAAACTTTATGGCGATGCTTTCATTTTCCCCAATTTATGTTATCTCACAAGTGTAAAATTTAGATTTATTGGCTTAATCCAAAGAATGCCCAGATTACAAATGGAGTTTAAAAAAATAAAAAGCACGGTTGGTTTAAAATAAAGATTAAGAAAAAAACAGCTGTTTTAATTCTACCCCGTGTACTCGTGTGGTAATATCTCCCTGCGAATGTAGTTGGGTGGCAGTGACCTATGACCCTATTCACAGGGGCCAACATGTCATTTCTTGATCATGTATTTAATATTATTATTGACAAGGTCTGCTTGTGCCTTTATAAATTTCACATGCCTTTAACTCAAAGCATGTAATGTCAAGTAATATTTGTGTAACTTCATGGTGATCGAGTTGGATATGCCTAACCAACTGTCATTACAGGTGTTGGTATGATAGATGGCCAAACTTTTATGTTCTTGGGCCATCAAAAGGGACACTCACAGGATAACATACAAGTGAGCTTAGGCATGTCCACACCTAAAGGGTATTCTCATATATCATTCCATTTTTAATTTACTCTTATATTTTAAATGATACTATCATTTTCTATATTTTACTTTCAAAATTTGTTTTGATTGATTATCAAAAGGCTGTACCAACCTGTGTCCATAATTATGGCTTTCATATTGTTATCTTTATTGACACTCCAGAGGATTGTGGAGAACTCAAGTCATATGAAGAGGGGAAAGTATGCGCAGCTAAAGCGCGGGTCCACTGAAGTCTTCTGTCGGGCTATTTTCTCAAGATTTAAATTTAAAAGTTTTTCTATGTGCAGGGGGGACAATAGCTTGACACCTGAGGACAATGACTTGAAAATGCCAATGATCTTTGTTGTCTTAGGAAAAGGTGGATCTGAAGGTGCTATGGCTTTTGGTGGTGCCAATAACGTGCCCATGCTTTTAAGTGAGTCTACTACTATGTTATGAAGTACTTAAACTCATACGTAGTACGTGTTTTGCTGTTTAGTTGTGATTTTTTGTTATCTGTTATTCTTTGATGAAGTCAATATAGGCATTGTAATTATTGTTCGTATCGAGTTACAATTGTCTTCCTTCATTAGAACATGTAATATTTTTTCATTCTCAATTTAAAAAAAAATCATGACAATTAATAATTAAAAAAATATTGGACATTTTTAGATGAAACTCAATAAAATTTGATTAATTCTTTTTACCTGCAATTAAATTAGTTTGGTTAATATGCGGCAACAAATCAATTTATCCCTATGCCTATTGTTCTTCTCGCTGCTAACTATTTTCACATTCTTTCTTCTCTGCAGCTTACCATCTCCTTGTGCACGATCATCTTCTCCTAATTTCTTCTCTGCAGCTGATAAACTCTTCCAAGAAAGCTCTTCTTGTCTTGGGTTCTTCTCTGCGGCTGATAATCTCTTCCAAGTAGGGTCTTCATATCCCGGGTTGTTCTTCTCTGCAGATGATCGTCTCTTTTGAGCATGCTCTTCTTGCCCTGGTTTGTTCTTTTGGTGCAAAGCATGACTTTTTTTTGAAGTCCTCGGTTGATTATTCTCAAGAAATTTGATCAGTTTTCTGGTTTCTTCTTTGTTTGTTCTGATTGTTTTATTTACATGGTCTATTCCTCGTTAAAATTGTTCCATTCATCCTTGTTAAGAGTGGTCCATTGATGATATTAGCTTCTATTTTTTCGCACTAATTGATTTTTATATTAAACATACTGAGACAACATCACTCATCCCCGACTTTTATGCTTAATTTATTTCCTTTTGCAATATGGGTAGGTTTAACTAATATGTAAAATTTATATGTCACAAGAGCGTTTGGTACATTAAACTGTTAAAAAGTAGATATTCAAAAGTGCTTAATTTACATTTACACGTTTAAATTTAAGAAAGTAATACTTAAAACAATAGCACAAGTTTACTTTCTTAAAACGTACTATCACCTTAGTGATTATAGTTATTCCAAGCTTCTTAAATTTTTACATGCGCATGTATCTTTATTCTTTAAGGGTATGGTTACGTTCCATGTCTTATAGGCTCTGCCTTAGCTTGGTGCATGGCCATTGCATGGTCAAAGGAGTAGTAGTTTAGTGGTGGACTCGGGTCGGGCCACCCGGCCCGCTGCTGTGCGGGACCGTGACCGGCCCGGTTCTCGGGTCCGGGTCGGGCCTAGGCCCGGAGGGAGGGCGGGTCCGGGCCCGGGTCTCACATTTGGCGAAATTGATTTTTTTTTTTCATTTTTTGGGGTTCCACCCGAGTTGGGCTTTATGGTTAGGAGGGGTGGGGGGGTAGGAAAGCATTAAAAAAATACCCAAACCGGAGGCCTGGCCCGGCCCGGACCTGGTGGCTACCCGGGCCGGTCCCGGGTCCACCAATCTTGAACCGCCGGCCCGCCCGGGCCTAGGCCTGACCCGGACCCGGACCCGGACCCGGCCCGGGTCCATCACTAAGTAGGTTTATGCATGCAAATTTTATTTCAGAAAGTTAGCATTAAAAAAATGAGAGACATGAAAGTCATTATACGGTTGACGGTTGTGATTGTTTTCTCAAAGTTTCATTTCTTCATATACATCAGTACATGTAATGTTTATTATGTAACGCTAGACCACCTCTCAAGATGTCCAAATGTACTACTCCGTACTATACTATTAACTCATCTCTTCATTTCTATTGTATTTGTTATATTTTTTTGAGTTAGTTGTTTACTACTTTACTCCCTTCACCACATTTGTTACTCCGTATAATTTTCCGAAGCCCCATTTTCAAATCAACTCTTTTTTAAAAGATACGAAGTAGTATCTTTTTTTAATAGTATTATATGTCCCTTAATTGGTAGAAGTTGGTGTAAAAGCTTTTACATATGTATACACTCATACAACTTTCACATTTCACTAAAAAATTGGGCATTATCCGAATCGCGCAACGCGCGATATATAAACTAGTATATAAAAAGGTTGAAAACAACTTGATAGTTAATCAATTAAAAATAAAGGAAGCGGTCATACTTGTTCATATATGAGAAATAACTAGTGCGCCAAGTAAGTTTTAAGTGCGCGAGAGAGAGGTCATACTTATGAGGGAAGTTTTACCAATTCATAGTCAAAATCCTTTTTGTTACTACCTTCGTCCCGAAAAATAGAGGTGGGAAAAGCTGAACCGTAACCCGGAAACCGACCCTGACCAGGCCTGAATTATAATTTCGGTCCGGGTCTTTTTCTTTTTAACCGGACCGAATAAAAAATCTGGATCAAACCTGAAATTTCGATCTCATTAACGAGCCCTAACATCTATAATTCGGCCCGAGCCGATAAAAACCCGAAATATTTAGATTTAATATGAAATCAATATATTATAAGGATATAATTTATAATTATTTCCTAATATATGATTATAGTCCTGGTAGATGAAAAAATGACTATGTAACTTTAAGTGGCTACAAATATGTTCAATTTGTTTACCGTAAAGACCATGAAATATATTAATAGTAATTTAATCACATTTTTATCCATAAGTTTTATTTCATACTCCGTAATATTTTTATAAAACCTATATTATTTATTTGGATTTGAATTGTTGGTGATTTCGGAGACTAATAATTGTGTTATTATTTGTAGTTTGTGTTTCTAATTAATTTATTTAAAAATATGTTTTAAAATATAAAAGGACAATGAGATGATTTCATGTTTGGGCTTTAACCGGCCCAACCCGAACCCAGGCCGAACCCAAGCTTCCAAATATAATGGGCTTTGTTTAGGTCTCTACTTTTCAGAACCCGAAACCTTACAGGTAGTTTCAAGAGTCCATTGATAACAAACATCCAAATGCAATGATAGGTCAGTCCGTCGGTAGAAGGCAATAGAAGAGCAAAGAAGTGGTGGATGGGGCCTCGCCTACCTCACCCCAAAAAATCCTAAATACGAAAAACTCCACGAATTTAATATAACTGCAAATATTTAAAAATTACAAAAGAAAATACCTAAATATGAGACTTTAGGCCCAACTTGCCTCGTTACAGACTTTCAGTGGTCCTGATATGTTGATAATCAGGGACCATCAGCCCATAGCTATGTCAATAACTCAATTAGGCCTAGACTCGGGCCGGGTGGCCCGACCCGGAACCGGCCCAAACCGGCACTGTTCCAGCCTGGCCCGGTGGCCCGGTCAGTGACCGATTCGGGTAGGCCCGACCCGCTGGGGTTTCGGTCCGGGCTCGGGCCCCTCAAAACGTGAACTGTCCAGGCCGGTTCGGGCCCGGTCCGGGCCATTTAATTTTTCAATTTTTTTTAAGTTTTTGGGTTGGGCTGGGTATTTTGGGTCATTTGAGATGGTTTGGGGTGAGGGAGGGGGGTTAGGGGTTAATTAGGAAAAGGCAAAAAAAAATTGAATCGAGGCCCGGCCCGGGGATTACCCGGGCCGGTTCCGGGCCTCCCCTTTCCTGAACCGAGGCCCGAACCGGGCCGAGTCCACCCCTAAACTCAATATAGTGTGGGACTCTGTGGATCAAGTGAGAGTTCTATCAAATATTGCCCCGGATTTGGGTATATCCTACATTAGGCTTGGCCCGGGGCCGGTCCGACCGGCCTAGGAACCGGACCGGACCGGCCCGCCACTGTGCGGGACCGGCCCGGACCAGTAAACCGGTACCGGGCCTAGGCCCGGACCAGTAAACCGGTACCGGGCCTAGGCCCGACCTGGGGGATTTATGGGGGAGGGTCCGGGCTGCACATCCTTTGGAACCGGCCCAGCCGGGTCCAATTTTTTTTCCAGATTTATTTGGTGGCAGGCAAGTAAGGCTGGGTGTTTTTTTTGGGGGGGGGGGGGGGGGGGGTTGGGGGTGGAATTAATTAGAAAAGCAAAAAAAAGTATATATACTAATGGAACATAATTTAATTCATTATTTACTCAGTTACGTATGTACATAATACTTGTATATCCGTTAGTGGAGTTTATCTAGTCTCCTAATACGTAGGTATATTAGTTAGCAAAGATCATCTCCATGAGCTGTATTTATACCTATCATTGTACATCGTAATTACTCAATTCAATATACTCTATTTCCATAGTTGTTCATATACTACGTATATATATAACCCGGAATGGTCCCAATGGAGTCCCGGGCCGGTTCCGGGCCTTAACTCACAACCCAAAAGCCCAGTTTGGACCGGCTCCGCTCAGAACCGGTCCATGCCTATCCTACATCCCTACCAGCTTGTCTGGTTATTACTTTCATATTCATTGGTGTCCTAACGTGATTAATGTTATGAATGTCTTTATGCATTTCATAAACAAGCATTAATTAACTAGTAAAGCAGTAGCAACTGTTGATGAGCAACCATAGGCCCTCGCATATTCAGGCAATATGATTTATTATCCACTTGATTGTCCACCCAGACTTCAGCCGGCATCGAGAAGATGCCAGCCAACCAGTCGGTAGAACTACTAAGATATTTTATGCCTAAGCGTAGTAACATTCTCTCATCTGAACAGATACCCGACTAGCCAATAGTGCAGACCCAGGTTTTGTTCATGGAGCTGACTTGGAAATGCCATTTTCTCCCAGTCTTTGAAATTCTGATTCCAAAGTTTCAGCTATCTTTGTGTCGTGAGAGTCTGGTTCGGGGATGTCCACATGAAAGGACCCTTCTTTCTTTAGTGCATCAGGCGCTAAATGCTCTGCTTGCTGTTTAACATAATCGTATAGCTGCTTGTGAAAGTCATGATCCAGGGAAAAACAATTATCAACTGTACCATTCCTAGAATGCTTCGAAGACCCGGAGCCCTCTCTTTTGCAGAAATGAGGGATTGATGAATAATCCATTATCTGAAAATTTGAGTTTTTATAGAATATTAGACAGACATCACTCATATAAATGAATTTGGGGGGGGGGGGGTGAGAAATAATTATTGTTACCCCTTGAAGTTATTGGGCCATAAGCCCATAATTACAAACCCAACTTCCTAGCCTTGTATTTTCAAAAGCACACTTTATCAGTACAAACCCATATTTACCTCATTTTCGCAATTTTATCAGTACAGTTATGCTAGAAATTTTATCATTCTCGCATCTCTTCCTCCGTCGTTAATATTTACCTCATTTGACAGTACAAATGCCAAATCTATTATTAATAACTGCTCTTAGAGGTCAAAAAACTTTTCATTTATCATTATATACAAGACATTACTCTTGCTTGTTATTCCATTGTCTTAGCTACTCACAGAAGAAATGTCTTTTAGAGTAGCAGAGCCAGAGGAATGACAACCAGCAATCACGAATTCCATTAGGTTTGACATATAAAGTATTCAAATTAAATAAATATTGACAGGAGGAGAAAATTACGAGAATAATCAAAGCTGAAGGAGCAGAGAGACTGACTTCTGAAAATATAAGGTTGACTACTATTATTGACCTCTCCTCAAGGTGGTAACAAAAATATTACGCAACAATAACTACAAAAATTCCAAGACAACAAAGCCAGGAAGTTGCATACTTTCAACAGGTCATCTCTTCCTGACCCAGACAAGACTTGAACTTTCTTTCTAGTTCTTTCTTGCAAAAGAGGACGCACAACCTGCAAGCATGGAATGTATTACATATAGTCGCTCATATTGCACTACAAGTCTGCTAGTATTTATTAAAATACAAAGCCATACCTTCCAGCAAGCTGAAAATATATATGGTGCATTAACAATGTAATATGTCTCAGTCTTCTCG